CAGTTCATGCAAATATGTTGTAATGGTAATAATAATTAATAAACACAGATTAATCTGTTCAGTTGGTCTTTTTGTTTACGATTTTGAAAAATTATACATATATACCAAGAGTTTAATGCAAGCAGAAATGAACTGAAAATATATTTTTCAATAAATAAATTATTGTTATTATATTTGATACATAAAAGGATTTAGATTATTTTGAGGCAGTTTGTGACTAATTGCAATAAACCGCCGATTTGTTGGATTATTCCATTGCGAGTAAAAATATTTTAAAGAAATTAATAAGGTAAAATATACTTATTATAAATTTATTTTCATCGGGCATATCACAGCTTCCATAATTTAGTTTAGTTAATACAGTTTTTAAATATCATTAAGAAATAATTTAAAAAAATACTTCTAAATAGACATTTTTGGCATAGTTGTGCTATAGCAATAAAATAACATTAACAAAAATATTATTACATTAGTATCGATATATATATATATATATATCAGTACCGAAAAGATAGTTCTGTAAAAAAAAAAAAATCTTAGAGAAATATTTTCTGATATGTATATTTCCATGTGAGAGTTCAATTTGAAATCCGAAAAATTCTATCAAGCACCATTTTCGAGAAAATTAAGTTTTTTATTTGTTAAAAAAATGAAATATCGAAAATGAGCTTCTTATTTCAAACAGAATTTGAATATTATTCATTTTTATTTATAAGGTAATTCTGTAACATGGACAATAATTATAATGAGGTAGGAACACATTTGCTTATAACATATATACAGAAAGCGTAAAGTAAACAGAAGCAAAATAACAACTAAATAATAATCAAAAAGTATATACAATAAATATAAATAAAATAATTTAAATATAAGTAAATTGAAAAAAAAAACATAAGAAATACAGACATACCTATATACTATATTTGCAGGCAAGGGAACTCCAAGCCAGGCTTGCCCCACCAGCTATAGCGGAATAAGCAGGACTCCAGGAGATCCCTGCTCCCCTCTCTCAACCGCATCACTAGTGCTAAAGCCACTGAAGATTTAACGAGAGCGCATTATTAGCCTTATACACTCAAGTCTTGAGTAGAGAATCTGTCCATTGCCCGAGCTCCAGTATATACTACAAAAGGTCACGAGACCACGGCCGTTTTAACATTCTTGGAGGATTGTGGGTATGGGTGGTCCTAGATAAGGATTGTGCAATGGGACTAAACTAAACATCTGATCTTCAAATAAGGCGATAACATTTTCTTCAAGTATATGCAGATAACATTATATTAAATCAGCTGATCGTCAAATCCATAAATATTTATTGGCCAACCTTATAATATTTAAATGACTCAAAGCTTAGATTCATTTTTTTTTTCATTTTGTGCCTTCAGTAAACGTAGCCGAGAAGTAAACGAAGGTGATGTGAAAAGGCAGTGGTAAAGAGGGGAAACCATTACTGCTCCAATAAATTTAAAAAGGCTCCTCCCTCCCCCGAGATAGGAGGAAGTACTAACAATATTCGACATGATACCGGATGAGGAAGGAGAGCAGCCGCCACAAACCATATTCCGCTATAAATAAGGCAGTGGGTACCTTTTGCCGGTTCATCAGAGCTCGGGATCCTTATTGGTTGGGGAATAAAGGAGGTGCATGTTATTCATAGAAGATCTCTCTCTCGCTCCCTCTCACTCTCTCTCTTACTCACTCTCACTCTCTCTCGCTCTCCTAACAAGGCTTCGCCGTCTCTCGCTCGTTATACCGCCACAAAAGACGGGGGGAGCGGCTTGGGACACAAGCTTCATTCAGAGAGGAACCCTCTTTAAAAAAGTTCAACAGGCCCTCTGCTTTGAATACGTCCAATTTGGAAACGGCCGGAGTCGATAGGATCTGCGGAGATAGCGGGTCAGTATGTGCTCGTCTTATCTCATGAGAAGGGGGAAAGGAGTAGCTCTCAAGAATTGCGAAAAGAAAGACTGGAGAACTCCGTAAGGAGAATGGTTAAGAAGGACCATCCAGATCTTAGATTTTTGACCTTTTCTTAAAAACATCTAGGGGAGTGGTAGGGCACTGACTACCAATGCTCGAGGTCCTAGTTTCGAATCTACATATCAGCAGATAAATTATTCATTCTGTTTCTTCGACCGAAGAACAAACTAAGAGTCGTAAGACCCTTCTGTGGCACACCCAGCCTTGGGTACCCTTAATTAAATAAAAAGGGAAAAAAATCTGGTAATTGAACGTGATCTCGGTCTGATTCCTCCCTGCTAAACCGTTGACCAGTATTCCCTTACATAGTCCTGAACCCAAGATCCTTAATGAGTGTAGTAGTACAGAATTTATTTTTTTATTATTATTTTATTTTTTTATGTGATAAATGACCCATCCTAACTCACTGGCTTCCTCCTAGATTCTTGTCAATTCTCTTAGAAAGAGAAAGATTGCCTCTAGATCTTCTAACTTAGAATTATTTAGGTAGCTTCACAAGTCTGTTCATGTCATTATTCTTGTTATTTGAGCAGTTCTTTTTTAATCCTTCTCCATGCATCAATACTGTTATTACCCAGATTACTCCGGTTATCGTGCGGAGGAATTTTCTCTCAAATCTGTCAGTTATTCTTTTTAAAATGGCTAGTGTCTAGGTCTCACAGCCATATACAGAACCGGCTTTATCATAGCATTGTACACCATTTATTTGTAGAGATTTTACGGAATTTCAAAACATTTAAAAGAGAGAAGAAAGCCCTGTTTGCGCTTGAATTGTGGAAGATGAAGCAAATTGTGAATGCTTGAATTCATATTAATTTAAAATCCAGATGGTAATTTTTTATTAAAAAAAAATAACATTAGTCCACAATATACCAGGATATTACATCAGAAAACTATCAAGCCTACTCCAATGGCTTTAAGAATGCTATAGCTGGTGTAGTAACGTTGACTAACCATCTATCATTTGCACTAAGAGTTGTCGCAACATAAAATTGACATAACGACTTGTTTGACCTTTCGCTTGCGCACGGTTCAAGAATTCATCCGGCCTACATGTTAACTTAACAGCTATTTACTAAATGAACTGTTTAATTCCATAGTTCCTCACCAATCCGACCCTTTATCAGGATTGTTAGTGCCGGATTAACTGGTTATATTAACTGGATTAGTAGAAGAACGTAAAAAGTAACAGATTAACTTAATAAGCTCTTCTATTTCTATTTTACTTTCACTTACATATGAAATATATTGTAATGGATTGCGGCATTGAAATATTTCAAATCCTAATTTTCAACGGAAATAAACGTTTTTAGTTCCATTAATATCCTCAGCAAGACTCGCGAAATGGCCTGTGTGGGGTAACAACCTAGATTTAAAAAAAAACGAAAAGTACGAAACTGAAATAAATTATTTAAGGTATACAATTTAAACCACATTTTAGTCTTCGACGAACTTAAATTCTATTAAAAAGATAAATGGAATGCTATAGCTTTAGGATCTCGGCCACTTTAAACAATAAAGAAAGAAAATTTTTAATATTATATTATTAATTAATATTATTAAATAAATAAAATATATATAAATCAAGTTATTTTTGTAAACAAGTAGATCTGAAGCGATTACAATGATAGATTAGTATCAGATCAGAAATAGCTGTGACTTATTGCTCCTCAACTGTTAAATTGGAGTTTTCCAGTTTGAAAAGCTAATCATACTTTGGTAAATTGTTAATTAAATAATCGTGGTAAAGTAAGAAGCTTCACTAATTGTATTTTTTGAATATTTTATCTTGATAATATTATATTTTATAATCGAATAATCATGTTTCGCTGATGTCTTTTATACGTCAAATGGATTAAGAAGAAGGGTAGATTGTAATCTAAGAGTTCTTCCTAGATTATACTAATTTAAATATTTTATTTGTAAATCAATATTCTTTTAGAAAAAAATTAAAAAAATCTTTATTTTTAAAACATAGTCCAAAAATCTGTAATTATTCAATAATCGTTTAAAAACATTCAAACATGAAGGAAGGGTCACTTTTGGAAGGAATTAAAATTTAAGTTCTGTTTTTGAATAAAAAAACAATTTGTATTGTGAAAAAATAAAGTTATATGATTGAGGAGGTAAAAATAACAAAATTAACTTTTTGTTCACAATAAAATTATTTATTTTGTTTTTATTAAAAAAATGTATTTGTGCCTACTAACTTTTGTTAACAATCACCAAATGTGCTGGTAACAAAATATATAAACGACATATAGGGCATGGGGAAGGAATGTATTCAGCAGCAATTCTTCCCTGACTTGTTTCAATTACTTAGATTGTTTAAGGAAAGAAATCTCTCATCCAAAGCCTTTTTCTCCTCCTCATGTTCCTCCTCATCTTAATGGAGAAAGTAAATTATCTTTTATACTAGTATACTCCAGTTAGCACTCTCACGCTACATAGCTATTCTCTATAATGCACAGGCGGATCTACGGGGAGGCTTTCGGGCTGAAGCTCCCCCTCTCCCCGAAATGATAAAATATAACCATGTTTTACACAAAAAAATATACAAAACTATCTCTTAAAGTATTCTTGTTCGTTTAATTACATTTAATAGGACTTCAGGAACCACTTAAACACCATATCATATAGGTAGCTAATTTCTTTCATTTTTTTTCAAATTAATTATCGTTATAGGTATATGAAAAAAAATCTTTCGGGCTGAAGCCCCTCCCAAAATTAAACCCTGGATCCGCTAGTGCTATAATGTATTGAATATATGTACTACATCACAAAACATTCGTAATGCAATATAATATTATCAAGATATCCAATTCGTAGAGATTCGTACTTTAAAGTAAAAATTTGGTTAATAAGGAATGATTCTTCACTTTTCCTTGGAATTCCCTTTTGTTTGATGCCTCATTCATCATAATCTATCCCTCCTGAGAGTTGGAAAATGGATATATAATAGCGTGTTGTATAGTGGTATATAGATTAATATAATATAATAATATTATTTATTTTGGCAGGTGAAGGTTGAAGGAAGAACACAGTACCTCTCCTGCGTGTGCATGGGCTGCCTGGAAGCCTGGGCACCTGGAAGGCGACTGAGGTGCAGGTTCTGTTCTAGCGCATGGGACGGCTCCTCTCTCGTCTTGGGGACCATGTACTCCTACGACATCTTCGCCGCCATGCCCTGCTGCACCGAGAGGCTAAAGGTAATATTGGAATGATCTCTATGATCTTGACTGATTATTGAACAAGTCTGTATCATCAAACTTGGATCGCCATAAAAAAAAAAAAAAATACTACGTTTAGATGAATACTAAATGGTGATGAAATAATTAACGCAATAAATAAATAACGCAATATCCATAACAAAAACTTTGTTATTCGGCTATTTGTTTAAGTATCACACAACTAAACCGACCACCACCGATCCATTAAAATTCGTTAAGTATTTAATTTTCATTTATGGTGAAGCGAGGAGATTGTGGAGTCGATTAATTAATCAATACAGAGATGTAGTCTTTCCACTTCTTTAAACACTGCTGAGTTTATCGCTGTTAAAATAACCAAAATAACATTGGACATTGAGTCACCTACATCGGGGGGAGGGAGAGGGAGGGGGGAGAGGAGGAGGATGAAAGTTTTGATGTTCTTTTTTCCTGATTTCCGGATAACCCGTTTGGTTAATCCTAAAAATGTATACGACAACATTTGTTAAGCTCGGGAAGTTGAATTGAATGACACCTTGAACGGGAATATCTGACAAAGGTGAAAAATGAGTGTATTTTACCCGTTTTATGTGCCAACATGTTACAGATGTTCGGTATTCCATATTTTTCCCGTTAAGTTGTGATATTTTTTTCTATCAGTTGAGTAGTAAACTTTTAAATATGGCTCGCGGTAGTGTAGGTTGGGATGAGAAGCGAGGTAACTGCCTAACTGGGATCTCTAGACAAATTACTCAAGAATTCATAACTTTGGTTCTATTCAATATTTTGTTTTCATTTAAGGCCTATATTTTAAGTCAAGCAAACTTAAATTTAATGTCAAAATTTCAAAAGTCTACCATGAGCAATTGCAGTGTATTGTTTGGTCGATTCCAAACGATACTGGCATGACACTTACTGTCTTTACTTAGATTTCGTGTAATTTTCAATAAATTTAAATTAATTTTTACTCTAAGTTCGTATAAAAAAAAAAATTGTTATTTGTGATTGTGTTTATTTCTATGGAAGTTCAACGAGTTCGTCGTGGTCTCGGTTTCATCCTTAAATATCAAAGTTGTGTGAACCTTACATATATTTTTATATTAGAGTTAATTCTGAACAAACAAAAAGTTGAATTTTTCTTATTAAGTATTATGACTACTGTTATTGCAGAAGGTCGTAGTAAATATTTTCAACTTTTATTCTATTTGTGCTAAATTTTGTAGATTGCAACTGATATAAGCTGTCTGTTACGATGGAAAATATCAGAGAGCAATTAAATTTAAAATTATTCTTACAAATCATAAAGAAACAATATTAGTTCAGTATGCACTGGATTTTTTTTTTTTAAATTTCAAATCATCAAATATGCAATCTGAAAATGCAGAACTCTATCACATTTTATAATTCAATGGACAAAACTCGTGAATATCGAACCCGAATATGTTGAGGGATTACTAAATTTCCGAAAACCGCTTCTTCTGGGGATTTTATTCATATACGAAAAATGTTAACCCTTGTAACATAGATAGTTTTTAGCCAATGAAAACTGCGAGGAAGCTATAATGACCTTACTTGGCAGACGTGTTTCTGTTTAATACCCGACAGTAAACGATAAAATATATTCGTTTAATCAAATCTACTTATGTTTCTGTATCAATATATCATATATGATGACAATTTAATAAATATACGTATGTAATGATAAAGTTAACTTATTAAGTAACTTGAGTAGATAAATAGAGTTTTGTTTTACTTGGTTTATTTAAACGTGGTTAAGGTTATGATAAGAATTAGAAAAATAACTATCACGTTACTTATACTAAGAAACGTGATTTACCATTCGATTCAGTAGTACAAATTCCATAGAGTATGAACCCCATTAAAATTATTGTAAGAGAATATCTGGGTGAAAAACCCATGTATAGAGAATTGATCGTTCCGTCCTATTGCGTTTCGTATGGTTGATAACATGAATAATTAAAAATATTATGTTAAAATTTTTATTTTAACATATAATTTAAAAGAACTGGACTGATATTGAGACTTTGTACACTATCGATGATTTTGAGAACTCTTGATGAATCGATAGTACCTACCCTATCGCTTCTCGTGTCTACAGCTTCTGGCTCTATACAAACTATTAGTGCGTTCGTAATAAAATTAAGTCACCGTTGTTTGGTTCAAATAGCTGTCGTTGGGGAAGGCGACAGAAATTTAAATCGAATAAAAAAAAAATCGAGTAAAGGGATAAGTCGAAGGAGGTATGATAAAGCTATACTTTGAGCAATTACCACGATGAGGAGGAGGGGGGGGGCGACAAAAATTCGACGAAGCCTTTGAACCGAGATCTGGAGCAATCAGGAGAGGAGGGAAGGTGGGGCCAAAGCAGATTACACAATTAGTAGCCGAATTAGGGCTCGCATCGCATCGCAAGTATTAAAAACCTTCTTTTGATCTCCCTTTTTCCTATCTTTAACCATCCTTTCCTTCCTCCACTAAATTACTTTTTATTGAAAAAAAAAAAAAGAGACAGTACAGAACGGAGGAATGGTGAAGTGGAAGGATGCTCTCGGCAAGGATTCGAGATGATTAAATTCGCCCGATGGTCCTACCTGTGTCCTTTGAAGGCCTTCTTTAAAACGGAAAGGAAGAATTTGTTTCTCCTTCTGCCTCCTCCTTAGCGGTCAAGGCGGATGATCAAAGTCACCGCTGGTTTTTATTAGTTTTCCCCCGTGCCCCCAGGGTTCCCTGCACAACTTCCTCCAGGAATGTCTTTATCTTTTTTCGTCCTGTGTCCGGCCAATCCGATGATGGGGTCTCACCCCTCCGTGTCTCTTTGAAGGACTGTACCATACCAGTTTACCTAATATCCTAAATGCTATGTCCCATCTTATTTCGCATGCATGGTGGTCGAGCTTCTTTTAGACTGGGAATAGAAAATACGGAGGAGATATCTTTGAAATGCCTTTTAAGCAATGAGGACGTTTTCAAATGGAGCCTCTTACTTCTTACTTATTTTGATTAAATTAAAATCCTGCTTTGATCGAGAATTATTTTATAATAAACCTTGAATTTTCATTGGAAAAAGTATTCTGAGTAAGCACCAAATTAAATGACTATATATTGAAGAAAAAGTGGGATTTAGAAAAGTATATATAAAATGTAATTAAAATCAAAAAGGATTCAAAGATTACGTTCCGAATTAACAGAGCGAAATTTTCATTTTGATTCAAACGAAAATCATCAATTTAGAGCGATTAGCAGTAATGAAAAAATATTGATATGTCGGAATATATTATGCATATAGATATTTTGTACATAATTTTATCGACATTTTTGTATAGAGATATATCGATATTTTATTTATTGATATATCGCTACTCGTGACAAAAAGTATTTGTATTCTTATTTTTCTGTTGGCTTTATAGATCTTTCATATAGAAGACATATAGAAATATAAATCATTATATTGAAGACTAAAAACAATTATAATTTATATCGATGATTCGTAATTTAAATTTAATGCAAGTAATACTTTTTAAATTGCCAGAGATACATTTGTGATCCTAAAAAAACTAATTACAATTATTTGTACTTTGAAATAATAAAAACTGAAGTTTTTCCATGTATTTTTTTTTTTTCAAGCATGCCTTCGTATTCGATATATAGAATTTCAACTATAGTTTGTGATTTCCATAAATACTTTTTGAATTTACTTCTGATACGGTCATCAGTATTTTGTAATTTAGGGTCAGAGTTTGAAAGTTCATATCCGCTTAGTTACGCAACTCTGATGACAATAATTTAATATTGTTTTGATCTTGACAAGAATTTCGCTCGGAAACCTCAAACAAACTTAATTACAAGTTATTAATAACTAAATTAATATTGTCATTTTGCATAACTCGGAAGACCTTCTCTTTATATTGAACATCAACGTAATATCACTTTGTTTAGCTATATTTAATTTTTCTGTTAGCGCTATAGACCACTTTGGCACCACGTTGTGGTCTTACGTCTATACATTACTTGCGGGAGTTCAAATAGTCTGGATGGAGTCATCCAACCTCAACTTGCTACCAACTTGGTCCGATCCCTTTGGGCCAATCTTGTACTATCTTTCCTACCGACTGATTCGGGTTCAAGGACAGTGACAAATTAGTCTAGATCTTTAGATTATGGCAGCTCAGAGCCAGCTGGCGCACAAGCATCTATATTTCTTTCCCTGGAACATAACCGTCATGCCAGGACAGAGGAGTCTGGGCAGTATGGCTTTTTCAAGGGGACAGTCATCCTGACGTTGTTTGTATTGTCCATTTCGGACACCCATCAACCATGCTTACTTACCATGCCGCTTATACCTTACCCCGCTCGGCTGTCCCAATTCGATCCCGGTTTGAATGTAATATAAAACTGGTATAAATGATGTTTTCATTGTTTAGTCCCCTGTTAATAAAATGTTATGTAAGCATTTATTGGAATTAATTCGAAATATTTCGTCAGAATATAGTACGAAAATTAAATCATTTATAAGATAGATCATATAATCGAGCAGGAGATTCCAAAAAAGAAAAACTAGTAAATCTACTCAGGATGTGCTTGAAGGAAACAATCAATAAAGTTAGAATCGGTAATAATCTGTCCGAAAAAGTTGAGGTTTGTTCGGGTTTAAAATAGGGGGATTCCCTTTCCCCTGGCCTGTTCAATTTGGCATTAGAACATGCCCTTAGGGAGATAATGCGTACCGAAAAAGGGTTAGATCTTGGATGGGACAACATCCGTGCTGGGCTATGCTGATGATCTGGTACTGTTAAGCGAAGACGTGGAAACTATAAAACTAAATACAACAACGTTAATGAAAGCCGGTAAAGAATTAGGGCTCGAAATAAACGCGGATAAAACAAAATATATGGTTAGCTGCAAAAATGGCGATACTACTGGTGATATCGATATAGATGGTGATATGTTTGAACAGGTAGAAAAGTATAGGTATCTAGGTTCTACGATAACTAGAAAAAAACGAAATTGAAGAAGAAATTAAGGTTAGACTGAAGGCGGGAAACGCGTGTTATTTTTCTGTGACAGACCTACTTAGCTCGCGCCTCTTGTCCCGGAAATTAAACATTAAAATCTATAAAACCATTATCTTACCTACAGTTCTTTATGGATACGAAACTTAGCCGCTTACATTAAGGGATGAGCAGCGTCTTAAGGTTTTTGAAAATAAAGTATTACGTAGAATATTCGGACCGAAGAAGGATGAGTTAACCGAAGAGTTCAGACGGTTGCACAACGCCGAATTGCGTGAACTGTATCCGGGTAATATAATTAAAGTAATTTCACCGAGGCGAATCAAATGGGCTTGTAAAATTGTTGGACTTAGTAACGAGAGAATTCCTAAAAGGTTTGCTGTACCGAATGGTAAACGTCCGAGGGGTAGACCGAAGCGAAGGTGGGAAGATTGCATTAAAGCCGATCTTAAGGGACTGGGTACGGTGGAGAGAGGTGTGTAATAAGCGATTGGTGGTGTCGGCATTGAACCTTCGGATTCGCTAAGTCTTTTATTATATTATATTATTATTATATTTATAAGATAGATCCTTTATAGTTATATATTATAGATTATGAACAGACTTCTTGTGTTCACTAAAACGGGTGAAGAATGAGAAGATCCTCATTCTAGCTTTAGCTAATTCTTAGACTTTCCCTGGTGGACAGTAGCCCATCCAAGTATTTATCCCGCACAACATTGCTTGGCTTTCATTATTTCTTTCAACCGCCATATTTTCTCGACACTTTTTCCTAATACATGTTAGCATTAAATGATAATGGTAGAATATTGTACACTTTTGGTCCAAGTACCGGTGATACAGACTTATATATTTTGTATTGTTATTGTTAATATTAAATGAATACATTGGAGCTATATGGTTGATGATGGTGTTACAGTGCAACAACTGCGCGAAGCCGTTGCTGCTGCCGCACCAGCGCTTGAACTTCTTCTCGGACTACTCGCACCGCGTGGGCTGCCCGCACTGCGGAGCGCAGGACTGGCACTTCGTCAAGCCGCTCGGCTACTGCTACAACCGGGAGTGGCCATAGCAGGAGGACGGGCCCGCGGAGGACCGAGCTCGCGCGGTGCAGCGGCTGCTTCACGCGACCTGGGCGGCGGACCTCAACGGCCCACTCCTCTCCCTCACCATCGCCTGAGATCGCCCACTCGTCTTCTTTTCACTCTTGATTGCAGATGTATTTTTTTATATTGGTTGCTCCTTCCACATTGTATATTCTTTTACCCCATCCACCTTATACATAAAAAAATGTAAAAAAAAAATAATATTGATGTATTTTAATATATATATACATATACGTGGTGTTTCAGGATTCAGTGCCTTAACTGAAAATATGAATTAAGGATCTCAAAACAAGGAAAATAGTTCGTATGAAGGTATGTCTGTTAACGCTTTATTTAGGAAATAATCCCATTTAAAGATTTCCATTTTTATGAAATATTTATAATTAATAAATGTGATTATTTTGAGCATTGTGACAGGCTCTTCATCTTTCTTCCACCGCAGAAGTGGCCGAACGGAGCTGAATATGTGTTATAGTTTCTCAAATTTCAATTATTCATCATAAAAAATTAATATCATTCTCTGGGCTTTCAAATCAAACGCTATCAGATCGCCATATTCACCTTTAGTATAAATAACAGTCAAATAAAATAATAAATGTTATTGAGAGTTCCCAATGCTGGTTAGGAACAGTTTGTGAAACATAGTCATATATTTTATTTTATCTATTTAATATCTTCTAAACAAAGCGTTTACAGATATACCTCCATGAGAAAGTTTTTTCTTGTTTTAAGATCCTTAATCCATATTTTCAGTAAGGTCTTATTTAATCATGATACACCCTGCGTATTGATGATACATGTGATGAGGCAGCGTTTTGCTTTGTACATTAGACTGTTCAAGGGTGTTTCGAACCACTTTGCCAAGTGGCCTATATTCCCTCCCTTCTTTTCATATAAATGTAGTCTTTAGGACGGCCTCTAGAGGCCTTTAAATATACTGCTACAAGATAATACTATATGATTGTGACTCCTCGACCGGGGAGCTGTTTAGTGTGCTCTGCTTTAATGATATATGCAGTGCTCAATTATTTGTCAAAACTCACAATTATCCCTATTCTATAAAATATATTTGTATTGAATGTTGAACCATCACAGTGATGTTTTTATATTATTATGATTGAAGAGTGTGTTTTCGACTACTTTTAGTATTCATATATATATTATATTAAGGACACTTTTGTGTTGACTGTATAAATTATCATTTTAGTTGTATATCGGATCGTTTATATATGAGTGTTTATAATTGAAATCATTGAAATTTGTTTTTTAATCATGTAATTTGTTTTGATTGAATGTATATATAAATATATATATTGTTACTATCTCTTGTACAAAAATCGATAAGTGTTTTATGTTTTCACTAGATATTTTGATGTAATAATTATACGACAATGTTGTCGATATTAATATAGTAAGTATATATAATTAAGATAATATTAATGAAGTACCTTTTTAAGAATATTTGGTCTGAGAACATTTGACATATTGAATGGAGATATAGCTATTAAATATATTTGTAGGTTATGGTGTATTATTTGTTTTTTAAAATATAAATAAAATGGACTAGCATCCGACACCTAGGAGAAGACTAGACTCGAAGTGATTCTGAACGGTTTCGAACCAAACATAGTCACTTTTTACTGTACACTATTCCTATAGAAGATATATATATATATTCACAACGGATCGACACTTTTCATGCCAGATGAAGTGCAATTATGCTGTATGAAAGATTGAACTGTAGGCTTGTAACATATCTTTGGACAAAACATTCTTAGGCATTGTTAACGCTCAAATAACCTTCATTTCCTTATTAGCATTAACACAGACATTATAGATAGGTACAATGTCACTGTCCAAAAACAAAAAAATGCATGTTGGTCATAGATAATATTTGACATATATAAATATATATATATAAAAATATAAATATATTTAGGCAATTATACTGAAGACATAGAATATAAAAATATATAAGATATATATTATTAAATGATATAATTTTCTTGCATTACTTCGCTACCTGTAGTATTGAATGAAATATGTGGCCAGTGTAAATGGTGTGTGGTGGGGATGCAAAATTTACTAGAGGCTTCTTCCTTTCTTGATAATTTCAGATGTAGAATCTTCACATTAGTAATGATAAGCTTTGATCTCAGCATATTTTCCCTAAGGTGTTTCTCTAGCACCACCTCGCTTCCCAACCTGTAGATAATTTGGGGAAATATACGCAGAATTACCGTTCATGAATAGTATTAGTTCACACATTGTTGCATGAGAGCACATTTTTTTTATTTATCTCTTTGGCGAAGGATATCCATGAATTGAATATGTGGACCAGAGCCGAAGCGGATAAAACTATAAATAATTGCATGCTGCTTTGTAAATTACGCTTTGTTAATTAGAAAGTAAGTTTCTCTTTGTGGTATAGAAGTTATAATTTAAACTATAATTCCTACCTATATATAAATGTAAGGAGATTTATTTGAATTTATCAAGTGTGTAAAACTCATATAACAATTATTGTTGATTGAGCTTTTACATTGGAAAATGGTGCTTATCAATCGATGACAAAAAATAATATTTTTTTTATTCTGAATGTACCTTAAATGACAAGGCTGACTGAACAAATGGAAACCTTCCATCTTCCGTGTAATGAGAAAGTATTGAAAGATCCTTAAATATTTTAAAAAATACAACCGTAAAATATTATGTATGCGTATCAAAGTATTTCCATTATTAATTAATAAATTATCAGTTACAAGTCATTCGGTCTGTGTATAAATTACAATGTATAAACAGTTTGTAAAAGTTCAAACTAATATATTAAGTACCAAATGTAAGCTGGTACTGAGGACCAAAAGTGGATTTTCTCTTGCGTCAAAGTTCAGTTCTTTGGAGCAGGTTCAAATTATAAAAAATTCAATAAATTGTATTCGGCTCATTAAAACTTGGAGACCTAAATTGTTTAATGATAAATATAATTATTAAATTGTCGAAGAACTGATTCAAACTAATATTAAAATACATATTTATATATAATATATATATTATGCAATATATTTTGAAGCAAGGTTTCAACATAGGCCTAAAATTATTTTAATTTTTTTAATCAAACCTTCAAAAGAGTAGTAAATACTTATATTTTTACTGTACTAACTGTACAAAAAGCATAGGAATGAACTGATGTTAAAAGATTATACATACATTTTATATATATATATATGTATATGTATATATATATATATATATATATATATATATATATATATATATATATATATATATATATGTTTATACATAATAAAGTGCTGACGTTACACAAATCTACTACCACTAAAAACAATAAACCAGATAAATGTAAAATTTGCTCAGATTTAAATAATGCTGAGTAAACTGTAATACACTGCCGATCCTAAGCAATAGAAAAACTACAATCCAAATGAAAAATACATTCACAAAAATAATTATTCCTTTTATATTTTTGTTAATTTTTTATTTATTTTTCTTTATAATAATAAATGGACTTTTCAGTAATAAATAAATTTCAATAATATAAATTTAAATTTTATTTCTTTATTTACTTTTGAGGGAAAAATCTAATTAAAATTACAAAATTATTGTTATAAAAGAATACATTTTGTACTTTTATACATTTTTTATATTTTTAAATTAATCTTAAGAATTTCTTATTCGAATTGAACATGATTTAAGAGATTAAAATTATTCTATTATTAATAATTATAATTAATTATATAAATATTTCGTAAATTGCAGAAGCACATATATTTCCGATCACTTTGTCATATTTAGGGCTTGCATGCTATTCTGCCATTGCTTCCTATTTCCACTTTGCTAATACTATCTGCATTATGCTTAACAAGTGCTTAAAATGGAACAAGAAAAAAGTATTTAAAAATAAATAAAAAAAGTGTCCATCCTGCTGTTAATGTGTTTGTTGATATAGTTAACATGTATTAGATTTTATTGTATTTGTATAGACATGTATGTGTATATAGATATATATATATATATATATATATATATATATATATGTACATATGTATATTTGTATGTACACATACATAAAACCCATAAAATTGCATATTTTTTAATGTTTCTCACCACCTTTGAAGCCCCCTTGTATGCTTGGCCGTATGAATGTTTAAAAAGTAATATTTAGGGAGGTCACATCAAGTACAAACCATCCATTTGAGAAAAATATATATATATATTTGTTTGTTGAGGTTTTTAAAACGCAATCAGCTTGTTTATTCCACTTAGAAAAATTGATACTGATTAGATGTTATAAGCGGTTGTTGTGTTTAAAAATTCATTCAATATCATTAGTTTAACAAAAAAAAATATTAAAATTATGTTACGCGGTAGGTGTCTAGTTATGTTCCTAAAATAACATAGATACTACCTCAAAAAAGAACGTATGTACAAAAAAATAAAAATTAAATTTAAAAAACAAAACTAAATATGCATTGAATCATGTTCTACCTCTGGAACGAAATCTCCTCTTTTTTAATATAAAAATAAATAAATAAATAAAACAAAGAAAACTACCTCATCTGAAAATTTTACAATCTTGATGGGATATTTTAATTGTTTTTAAACGAACACATTTACTTTCAAGAAAAAAGAAAATGAAAAAAAAAATACTGTATAAATTAAAAAATATCTATTTTTTATTTGCCTTATAAAACATTAGATAGGTTAATTGTAATAATCTAATGGACAGTTATATATATCGGGCTGGCGGTGTTCGTTGAGAAGTGTTCTGGAAACGATTCAGAGGGAAAGAAAACATGAACAACAGTATGCTCATTTCAGCCTTGATTCATCAAGTAAAATAATTCATGAAGATTTAGTGGTAGTAAAATTAGTTCGGCTGAATCGCAACATCATTTCGGCCGGTTTAAATAATGTTAAAACTTTAGCCTTTTATAACAGTACAAAACGTCAACAGCAAATAATGATAACGCTCATGTTTATTTATCATTAGGATATTATTCTGTTTCAATTTCGGATATTTGTTATTTTATAATAATGAGTTTTGTTTGTATGTTCAAATTAATTTAAATCTGTTTAAGAAAGTTTCTGGAAATAATTTTGTTATAAGTATCGTTTTCAATAATGGAATTGAGTTCCAAAAAGTTCTGCATAAAAAATGGTGATTACAAAAATAAACATTGTTTATATGTTCCTTTATATTTTGCATACTTATTGT